CGGAATTAACATAGTAAAAATGGCAATCTTAACAAAAGCAATCTACAGATTGAACACAAAGCCCATCAAAATCCCAGCAAAATTCTTCACAGACCTCAAAAGAACAGTACTCAACTTCATATGGAAAATGAAAAATAAAAAACCCAGGATAGCAAAAACAATCCTGTACAATAAAATACTTCTGGATGCATCACAATCCCTGACTTCAAACTCTACTACAGAGCTACAGTACTGAAAACAGCCTGGTATTGGCATAAAAACAGACAGGAGGACTAATGTACCCTAATAGAAGCCCTAGATATTATTTCAAACACCAAATTTTTGACAAAGAAGCAAAAATATCAAGTGGAAAAAAAAGAAAGCATATATAATAAATGGTGCTGGCATAACTGGATATCAACCTTTAGAAGAATGAAAATAGACCCATATCTATCACCATGCACAAAACTCAAGTCCAAATGGATCAAAGACCTCAACATAAAGCCAGCCACATTGAACCTTAGATAAGAGAAAGTGGGACGTACACTTGAATGCATTGGCACAGAAGACCACTTCCTAGATATAACCCAAGCAGCACAGACACTGAGAGAAACAATTAGTAAATGGGACATCCTGAAACTGAAAAGCTTTTGCAAAGCAAAGGACACTATCAACAAGACAAAATGACAACCTGCAGAATGGAAAAAGATTTTCAACAACTCCACATCAGACGGAGGTATAATCTCCAAAATATACAAAGAACTCAAGAAATTAATCATTAAAAGAACAAATAATTCAATAAAAAATAGAGTACAGATCTAAACAGAGAGCCTTCAACAGTGGAATGCCCGAAAGACACTTAAGGAAAAATGTTCAATAGCCTTAGTCATCAGAGAAATGCAAATCAAAACAACTCTGAGATTCCATCTTAAACCTGTAAGAATGGCCAAGATCCAAAACTCTGATGACAACTTACGCTGGAGGGATTGTGGGGAAAAGGGAACACTTCTGCATTGCTGGTAGGAATACAAACTAGTACATCCCCTTTGGATGTCAGGGTGGCAATTTCTCAGAAAACTAGGAAACGACCTTCCTCAAGACCCAGTTATAGCACTTTTGGGTATATATTCAAAGGATACACAATGGTGCCACAAGAACATATGCTCAACTATGTTCATTGCAGCATTGTTTGTCATAGCCAGAACCTGGAAACAACCTAAATGCCCCTTGACTGAAGAATGGATAAGGAAAATGTGGTACATTTACACAATGGAGTACTGCACAGCAGAAAAAAAAATAACGACAGCTTGAATTTTGCAGAAAAATATAACAACAGCTAGAAAACATTATTTTGAGTGAGGTAACCCAGACACAGAAAGACATTTATCACAATTTATCACATGTACTTACTCATAGATGGTTTTTAAACATAAAGCAAAGAAAGCCAGCCTACAAACCATAGTCACAGAGAACATAGACAACAATGAGAACACTAAGAGAGACTTGCATAGATCTAATCTACATGGGAAGTAGAGAAAGAGAAGATCTACTGAGTAAATTGGGAGCATGGAGACCTTGGGGGAAGTTTGAAGCGGGGAGGGGAGAATTAGGGAGAAAAATGTAGAGCTCAATAAAAATCAATAAAAAAATGAAATCAAATGTTGCATTTATCATAGCCTGGTATATTTTATTTAATATGATTCTTTCTTTCTTTTTTTGTTTTTTTTTTTTGAGACAGGGTTTCTCTGTGGCTTTGGAGCCTGTCCTGGAATTAGCTCTGTAGACCAGGCTGGTCTCGAATTCACAGAGATCCACCTGCTTCTGCCTCCCGAGTGCTGGGATTAAAGGCATGCACCACCATCGCCCGGCTTTATTCATCCATTTTCCAGCAAATGATTTAATTATTTTGACAGAATAAAACATAAAGTACATATATTTTATATTTTTGGTTTTGTTAATATATTTATTTATTCATTTTTCAACCCAGCTACAGTTTCTCCTTCCTCTTTTCCTCCCATTTCCTCCCTCCTCTCCCCTCTCTTTTCAGCTCCAGTCCACTCCTCCTCCATTTCTGTTCAGGAAAGGGCAAGTCTTCCACGGATAGCAACAACACATGGCATATCAAGATACCCCATGTATTAAGATGACCAAGTGTGAGAAGTAGGGTCCCAATGCCAGTAAAACAGTTTTATTCCATATTTTTATTATTCATTCATTTATTGTGAATGAAATATTTTTTTATCAATTTCTTTCTTTTCAAGTTCATTATTGGTATTTGGAAACATCGTGATACTTTTACTATTTATATTGTATACTAATAGTGTGATGAAAGTGTTTTATCATGGAAGTTTTAGAATATCTAATGTATAGGATCACATCATCCTAAAATGGTAGTAATTGGATTTTTTTTCCTTATTTGTTCACCTTTGTTTATTTCTGATTCCTAGATAATCTACCTAAGACCTTAAGGACTGTATGATTAAGAGGTCAGAAAATGGACTTCCTTGTCTCAACCCTGATTTTAAAGTAAGTACTCTGAATTTTTCCTCATTGATATAGTGTTGAATATATGTTTGTCAGAGGTGCCCTGTAGTATGTTGCAATGTGTTCCAAACTTTCAAACCTATCTAGTGTACAAGCTTTGTTATTCTATCTTGGCATTCATTCACTCTTTTAGTTTCCCACTGAATATTTAATATTAATATCAAGATTTATTTTGGGGTTAATCCCATTAAACCACCCAGGGTACAGAAAGATTCACAATGGCAGGCAAAACCTGGATAATTGGATCTGAGGGTAAACAGAATAAATCAACTCCTGTACGTTACCACTACATGCTCTTTATTCCTTCTTGAGAAGAAACAGGGAGAAGAACAAGGGGTGTCTCCATGAGGTTTCTAGTCTTTACAAACATAGTTGAAAAATTCCATAGACCAAGACAATGATAATATGCATATTAAGGTCACAAAAAGGGCAGTCACAAAACAGCACTCTGGAACAGGTGACACCACCCAGGAAACAGCCAGCATCCAAGGGTAAATATCTGACATTACAAACCATTAGATAAAGTTACTAAAGATTCCTGAACCTGGACTTCACCCACACCCAGACCTGCCAGTCTGGTAAGGGCTGGGCATACTGCCTATCTGCTCAGTGCCTATCTTTTATAAAAATTTCTATATGGTTTGTTAGCAAGTAATTTTGTGGGATTGAATCTCTGTAAATTTGACTGTTAGAATGAAGAGTGAATGTTTTGGCTTTAAGGTCTCATGGTGTGGGAGAATGGAAAGGACATTGCATTGCCCCTGCAGGAGAAGTTACACAGCTCATTGTTTTGGGAACGAATCCCATTTTTAAGGGAGAATCACTATGATTTCACAAGATTTAACAGAATTGACAGCGATTTATCCAAAAGTCAAGTCTTCTCACAGGCTCTGCAAAACGAGATGCCCCATAAGTTGTACACTTGTGGGTCTTCCTTTATTAATCTGTGAGCAGTACATTTATTGTACAATACTGTAGCTTCTGATATATTAATTGATTAATTTGCTTTTACACTCTGTCCATAGTTTTTTTTCTCCCTCTTCTTCCAGTCTCTCCCCCACCTCTAGCTTCGTTGTAGCCAGAGAAGCTAGAAAAATAAAGCCATCTAATGTCTACCCTTTGATGTCAGACATGCAGCTGTGGAATTTGCAGTGTGTCCTGCTGTATTTTGGTCTTGCATTGGTCCAGTATGCTCTCACTATACCCCTTTCCTCCTTTATGGAATGATAATTATAATTATTGCTCTTAGAAGTTGGAAGCACTCAATTTGCTTTTTGATTTTACAGAGTTACAATTCAGAAATTGTCTTTACTCTCAGAAGAATCTTTTGAACTTGGATTTTTAAAGTGTTGAGAATTGAAGATGATGAGACCATTTGAAGTTAGATGAAATGCATTTTGCATTATACATTTATTGGGGGCTAGAAGTAGAATACAGTGGTTGGAATGAAAATGATACTTGAATGTTTGTTCCACAGTGGTGGAAATTCTTTTTTTTTTTTTTGATTTTTTTGATACAGGGTTTCTCCACAGCTTTTGGTTCCTGTCCTGGAACTAGCTCTTGTAGACCAGGCTGGCCTCGAACTCACAGAGATCCACCTGCCTCTGCCTCCCGAGTGCTGGGATTAATGGCGTGCACCACCACCGTCCTGCTAGTGGTGGAAATTCTTGAGAAGAATTGGTAGTTGTGGACTTGTTGAAGGTTTGTCACTAGGTATGAGCTTTGAGGTTTTAAAAGACCCCAGCCATTCCTTACCTTTCTCTCTTTATTATGGTTTTGTCTTAAGACAAGAACTCTTATCTACTGTACCAGTATTATGTCTTCCTGACTATTATCATCCTCCCTGCCATAATGGTGATAGACTCTAACCATGTGACATCACAAGCCCAAAATTAGACATTGTTTTTTAAGTTGCCTTGATCATTGTGTTTTATCACATCAATAGAAAAGATTCTAACACAATATCCTAGGGCAAGAGGAAATGTTAGAAGCAAGTGACCAAGCATAAAACAGAAATTCATTTATAATGATAAGAGACCAACACAATATTACATAATTTCATTTGTATTTAGGAAGATATAAATTACAACAGTCAACATAGTTTTCATAGAAACAAATACAGAAATGTTAATCAGGATAAGGAAATTATTTTTTTGTCAAATAAAAAGTTGGTTGTCACCTCTTAATGTATTAAAAATTTCACCATTAGTAATTCTGGCTTCAGTCAATGCAGAAGGAAATACCTGAAGCCAGTCTATTATATTGAAGCTCTTAATGGCAGCTAGACATATAAATTATGTACAGTAAACAGAAAACAACAGGACAAAAATTCTAAGTAAACATAAATTAGACAATTAAAAGAAAGCATAGAAATCTTCAATAACAAGCCTCCTAAGAAGACTTACACTTTGGGTCACACGGATCAGATATCTTACATTTGGACACAGATTAAATAAGTATCTGTTCTTCACAGAGCCATGGCATCAACGAAGCGCGTTCATTCCAGGAGCAGAAGGCAGCTAGATCTCCAGGAGAAGCTGACCAACATGGGGTTGTCTGTTGACTACTGGCTGCCTAAGCTTCAGAAAGACCTGGGTGTGACTAGTGCCCTGGACTTACAACACTTAGGAGAAAGAGAGCTCCAGAAGCTGAAGTCCCAGATACAACACACATGGGAGGAAAAGGCTCTGGAAAAGCTGCTTGACATCTCACATCCAAACGGTGTTGCAGAGTTCCAGGAGACTGCAGGGGAGATGATAGAGAGCAGACAGCAGCAGGCAGGACAGGCACTGCAGGAACTGACAGCCTTGCAAATACAAGGGAAACACAGAGAAGACAAAGAAGTTAAGAAAAAAGAAGCAGAGCTGAGACAAGCAATGGAGATCCCTGAAGAATGCTGGATGGATGAGGCAAAAGAACAGTCACAGTGCTTCACCCATGAAAATAAAGAGACTAGTAACCAGCAGCATAATGAAAACAGCAAAGCAGAAATGATAGAAAAAGGATCTTTCTTAAGCTTACTACAACGCCTAGGCCTAGAACATCACTACCCAAAAAAGATGAGCAGAGCTGACTTCCATTTGATCTGCAAGAGTTCTGTACACAAGTCCAAACCAGCATCTGAACAGGAACTTCCCTTCTATTTCCTACAAAAGCTACTGATGCTAGATTGTGGGTTCAGACATCTGGTCCTCAAAGAGGCTGAAAATGAAAAAACCAATAGTTCTTTAGATCCCTGCTATGAGGAAACTGATACTTTTGATCCATTCGAAGACTTGTCTGATGACAGAGATGAACCTACTGATCCTCTGGACACAGAGTCCCAGCCACGCATTCACCCAATGGACATCCAGATGGCCATTTTCCACTGTGCAGATGATCTTGCCAGGCAATACATTTTGTCCAAACTCTCCATTTGTCAGTTTGCACTCCCCCTTTTGGTGCCAAATCCAAACACCTCTCAGATGGAATTCTTTCTCTGGTCTCTCAGACAAATCAGGAGAAGTTGGCAAGAGTCAAGTAAATCAGCACAGGACAAGAGCTACAGTCACAGGAATCAGCAGATGTGCTGTGTCTCTACCCCCATTGTGTCTTTCATTAGAGTTGGAAATGACTTCTCTGCTTCCAAATCTCAGATCATGAACTCTCTGCTCAGTAAAGGTAAACACGATGTGTTTTTTCACAGGTTCTGCAGAGAAAGCAGCAAATATTGTCTCCTGATGGAGGGAGTGGTGGAGATCTCCTGGTTCTGTCCTGGGGGTCAAGGTGAGGACACATTTGATAGGTGTATGGCCTTCACCAATCTTCATGGAGATGCCAAGGACCATAGGCAACAACTCAGCTTCCTGCAGGATATCTCTTCTGTCATTGTGATGGTCATGTCATCTACTGATGACAATAAAGAAAACCAGAATATTGTCAGACACTTGAGTGAGTCCTCAATACCTCTATTGTGTTTGTTGGATAATAAAAAAATTGTCTCGGTCAATAATTCTGGTAGAAGAGTAAGAATTGGCATCAGGAATAGAAATGGGGCAGAAATAAGAGAAGAACTCATAACTGCCATAAAACATTTATTAAAATACTCTAATACTTCTTTGAGCTTAGAAGATTGTTCACAGATGGCTCGAAAACAAGGATTCCTGGTTGATGAAGACCAGAAAGACTGCAAGAAAGCTAAAGAAAAGGCTGAGATTATAACGGCCCTACTAGCAAAACAGACATTATCAAAGATAAAAGAAAACTTACTACCACTTCAGGGAAATCTCTGGCATATTTGGTGTAAGAAGGACAAAGAACTCTATCATCTGACAGAAAAAGGAAATCGGAGTATTGAACAACATAAAAGTGATATTGAGGGAGAGAAACAAAAAATCCGCTTTCAACAATTAGAAAAAGCCTTTCCTCTCAATGATGTAATGTGCTCTTTCCTTAAAACTTTTCAAGAAAATGAAGAAACTCCTTCCAAAGAGTATATCTTGACCTGGTTGAATCTGCTTTTACATAACTTAACTAAAGATCATTTAGAAAAATTACAGGAGAAACAAAGGTCTTTGTGGTTATTAGAACAAACAGAAGGACATAGAAAGTGTAAAAGCAACTTCTTGATTGACCAGCAGAATCAGATAGAAGCCATCACCAAAGAGATTTATGACTGTACATTTGGCATTGAGCACCTACTCCGAGAAGTTGCCCAGATTTATGAAGTTCTGGAAGAAACTTCCTCCCCTAGAGACAGCATTATTCTCTGCCTCCCCCAGATTGCTGCAGACCTGATGGTAGCTGGTCTTCCCATTGAGCTGATGGATGGGGATGCTTCATATGTGCCTCTAAAGTGGGTGGCAGCTGTTTTTGACAAGATCTCTGAGAAAGTTGGAGACAAAAGGTTGTTTGTTCTCTCTATCCTTGGCCTACAGAGCTCAGGGAAGTCCACCCTACTGAATGCACTCTTTGGGCTGCAGTTCACAGCCAGTGCAGGCAGGTGCACCAAGGGGGCCTACATGCAGCTCCTGAAGGTGGAAGAGACATTCACAGAAGAACTTGGCTTTGATTTTCTGCTCGTTGTAGACACAGAAGGACTGCGGGCTCCAGAACTCAACAGCAAATCCCAGAATTGGGACAATGAGTTGGCAACATTTGTTACTTGTCTTGGAAACTTGACTCTGATCAATATATTTGGGGAGAATCCAGCAGAGATGCAGGATATCCTTCAAATAGTTGTCCAGGCTTTTCTCAGAATGAAACAAGTGAAAATCTCCCCAAGTTGTATCTTTGTCCATCAGAATGTGGGAGAAGTTACAGCTAAAGACCAAACTATGGAAGGACGAAGGAGACTGGAGCAGAGACTGGATGAGATGACCGCATTAGTTGCTGAGTTAGAAGAATGCTCAAACATAACCCGCTTCAGCGATGTAATCAAATTTGATGTTAAGAATCATGTCTATTACTTTGCTCACCTCTGGGATGGCAATCCCCCAATGGCCTCTCCCAATCCTTATTATAGCTACAATGTCCAGGAATTGAAGAGTGTGATTCTTCAGACTGCCCAGCAGGAATCCAGGGGAAGGATCAAGAAAATCTCAGATATAAAATTCCGAGTTCAAGATTTGTGGAAAGCCCTGGTCAGTGAAAATTTCATTTTCAATTTCAGAAACACTAAGGAAGTCATAGCCATGAACAAACTGGAAACTATGTATAATCACTGGACCTGGGAGTTGAGGAGTTATGTTCTGGAATTACAGAACCAGTTGAACAATCAGATTCAGAATTCAAAAATAAAGACGATCACAATCAATACACTAGAGGGTCCACTTCACAGAAAATATGAAACCATCAAGAAAGAGTTTGACAAGTATTTTGAAGAAGATCCAGAGAGTGAAATATTGATTCAGTGGAAAACTTATTTTGAGCAGAAGCTACAAATGCTTAACGAATCACTTATTTTAGATACCAGAAAGAAAAGCAATGAGCTTATCAATCTTAAACAAAGCCAAGAAAGACTAGATAACCAAATTTCACAATATGAAAATGAACTGTTAGAGAAGAGCCGAGAGTTGGCTTTAAGTGTGAAGGGTAAAGAATTCAGTGATGAAGAGTTACATGAGAAATTCAATCAACTTTGGACAAATTGGATCTCCAATGTGACTCCAAGTGTTCCTCTTGTGACAGATCCTAACATTGATTTGGATTCTGAAAATATCCTTCTGGAGCATTTCAAGAAAGAGAAAAATATTATAGAAAAACTAAAAAGGGACTCTGGAGACATGTTTGAAATAAACTATGACAAACATATCCAAATGAAAAAACGACATGGCTTAATCCGCATGAGTTTAGAAACCTCACATAAAGAATCTATTAAAATTTTTACTTCTAATATTGATTTAAGATTTAATGAAACAATCAAAAATATTTGGAAGCAACAGTGTGGTTACAATCAGAATGATTTCCATGAAATCCTGAGGATAGTAGAAAATGAAGTGAAATCTCTTCCCCAGGAGGAGGACTACATATTAACCAGAGACTACATCATTGACTTATCCTTGTGCTTATTCCAGAAAGCATCAAAGATTTTCAAGGAAATGCATGAGGCATTCAAGATGGCAAATGATCCTGTGAACTATATGAAGAGAAAGAAAGAGGATTTTTTCATGAGTTTTAAGATGCACTGCCAAGGTACCACCTCCATCACATCCATTGTTGACTTCCTTTGGCTTAAGCTTACTCCTGCTATATCTGCCACTGTATGGAGGGAAATGGTTAGTAAAGTAACTGGGGATATGCAATCCATGTGCCCTGCATTCAATGGAAACAGGGCTAACCTGGAGAAACACATTCTCATTTCTCTGGCAGAAGAAGAAAATTTTGAGAAGTATTGGAAATATGTTCATTATCCAGAACCATTTTTTAGAGAATACATTACAGAGCACATTATAAGGTACTGCTCAGAAAAAGGTGAGAAATTAAAGACATTTTTAAAAATAAGTTTAGAGGACATCAAGAACACCATCCTCTCTGCTGTTCAAAATGCCACAGAAGTAACTAAAGATGATAGCAGCACTGCTTCTCGCTGGTTGGATTTGTTCTGTGATCATCTAGGGAGCCACGTGATCTTTCCAAAAAGAGACCTGATAAGCATAGAGCACCTGGAGATAAAGGACACTGAGTTTCTCAAAGAATCCATGAGTGCAGCTTTGGATCCTGCACTGAGGAAAGTCAAAGAGGACTGCTCAAGTAAGCCCATAGATGAAATGGTTCCTGACATTGAGAAAATTCTCTCTGCTCAGCTCTGTGGCTGCTGGAAACAGTGTCCTTTCTGTAAAGCAGTTTGTACCAACACCATTCCTGAACACGAAGGAGACCACAGTGTGTCACTCCACCGTCCTCAGGCTGTACGTGGAGCTAAATGGAACAAAACAGAGGACTTTGTCATTGAATTCTGTACTAGTTTAGTAGCAAGTGATTATCCTTTTTTTGTAAATGACTTGCAATATTCATACAAAAGATATCGAGAAGCAGGAGATAACTACGCCAGGTGGAGCATCACTCCAGACTCATCTCCCCAGTCATACTGGAAATGGTTTGTCTGCCACTTTAAAACAGAGCTAGAAAACAAATATGGCAAAAAGTTTATTGAAAAAGGAACAATACCAGATTCATGGTTCAAAATCACAAAGCAAGAAGTACTCGATTACTTAAAAAGTCACAAATAGAATACTAGTAGTTCCAAAGAAATTTCAAATTAATCAAGGGACCCTAATATCAATTTAGGAGCTACATTCAAGATACCTTATAAATCAAGAAAATAACCATTAATAAGCTACTATTTCCATATTAGAAGATTTTCTACTAAGAAGATTTTTGCAATGTGTTTATTATTCCTGCTTCATATATAATGTACTATATATATGAAAATATGTATAGACCAATATCCTATCAATAGTCTACTTCACAGTTTATATTCTTAATGTTTCTTTAAGCATATAGCATACACATGGAAAGTTATGTTATTAGACAAATATTCTAGCCTTTCAGGCTGCCACAGATCTCTAGATACACTGATGGAAAAGGCTTTAAAATACTTGTCTGAGGAAAAGCCTTTAAGTCGATTTTCCCCTCTTTAAATTATAAGAAACCTTGCCAACTTTAATGTAACAATCTTCCTTGAGAATTGAGGATCCCAAAGCAGAACAATTGAAGAAGCCTCTGTTTTGTAAAATAGTTAAGCAGGTTTGATCAGGACAAACCCATGATGTCAATGATCATTACCAATCCAATAAAGGAAAGATAAACAAGAACAATTTTTCTGACCATGGTTTTACTCTTTTCATACTTTCTGTCTTGGCATTTTTCTGTTCATTTTATAAAAAGAAAGAACAAATCAAAAATATTAGTACTTAAAAACAGCATTGCCCAACTACTAACCCCAAAACAACAGTTACCTGCCTTCAAGATAAACTTGTTCAATACTGGCACATATATTGTGGGATTAACTGACACTTTCTGATTTGATTTATGGCCCACTCCATACAATGAAACCTATATGTATACTGCTTAAGTAGCCAAGAACCTCAGATTAGATAGATCTCATACCTAGGGGAAACCTGTTACTAAAATTCTGCTAAAGTAACATAGCATTAAAATGATTGCTATATCAATAAATCAGTGCATTGATCAACACACATCAGAGAAGTTTCTTCTTATAGTCTATGGGAATTAATACAGAAACCCACTGTGAGAAAATATATAGAGAGTGAGAGACTTTGGAACACTCAGTCCTAAATAGGAAGTTTTCATCAAATCATCCTCATGTCCCAGGTAGCTTTACAGTAGAGGAGGCTGAAAGTTTGGAAGATTTAGATGTCATGTACAACTTCAAGAAAACAGTACGAGCAAGCATAACAGGACTGATGTGCATAGGAACTCACGGAGACTGTAGCAATGCACACAATGTCTTGATGAATTCAATCCAGACACTGTTGCAGCACTAAAAGGGAGAAGTGAACACAGGGTCCCACCCTCAAATAAGTTGTCTGCAATTTATACACACTGAAAAGGAAAAAATCAGTTTCAACCAATGAAACCCCATAGGTATATTATCTATACTGCAGTACATGTCCCATGCACATGAGTATTTGACTAATAAAAAACAAACTCAATGGTATTTTTACCAGAATTTTTGTCTACAGTCACCTAGGAGACAAGACTCCAGGAACATACCAGCAAAAGTTTTTGGTTTTTTTTTTCAGATTATATTAGTCTATGCCTTGAGAGATTGATGGAGGAAGGTCATTGGCTAATAAAGGAACTGCCTTGGCCCATTTTATTGGTTAGAGGATAGGTGGGAGGAGTAGGCAGAACAGGACGCTGGGAGGAAGAGGAAGTGAGCTCAGTCTCAGCCTGCCCCTCTCTCTCTCTCTCTCTCTCTCTCTCTCTCTCTCTCTCTCTCTCTTTGCGCAGGGGCCATGCTAATCTTCTCTGTATCGTTCCAATTTTAGTATATGTGCTGCCGAAGCGAGAGAGAGAGAGAGGGGGGGGGGCAGGCTGAGACTGAGCTCACTTCCTCTTCCTCCCAGCGTCCTGTTCTGCCTACTCCTCCCACCTATCCTCTAACCAATAAAATGGGCCAAGGCAGTTCCTTTATTAGCCAATGACCTTCCTCCATCAAGAGATAATACTGATTAGATTCCTGGAGGTGGGAGGACCTTCCCTAACTGGTAAGCCCCATTTCCTGGGCTTAAGAAAAAGGAGGAAGTGACCTGAACACAGGGCATTCACTGCTCTCCATTTACTGACTGGAAATGTAATGAGATCACTTGGATCTAGCTCCTGCAGCTCTAATTTTCTCACTCTGAAGTCAAACCATGAGCTGGAACTCTTCTTCTTTCAGTTGAATTTGTCAGGTATTTTAGTCAGCAATGTGTACTGTTACCTAATTATAACCAGTTAGTTTTCAATTCTTGACATAAATTAAACGAGTTTAATGTATCAACATTAATCAAAACTCTAAAATCCAAAGTCAATTCTCAGACATAAAGATAACTCTTCACTGCGACCACCTGAACAATGACTAAAAGTAAACAGATTTTAGAAAGAATTACATCTTCCCCCAAACAGTAGAAAATAGACCTTCCTATTTTTTTTGAAATATGGGGATGGAGATATAGTAAGGAAAGAGTAAAACAATGCAAGACAGAAATCAATCAGAGAAAATACCAAATCCAGGATCCAGCTCTGTGTCTGGCATTTGATGCTTTAGTCTTCAAGGACTTTGATGACTCCAGCTCTCCAGCTTTGCTCCCCACAACATAGAATTCTTAATTATGCTTATTCTAATATTTGTACTTCCCTTGGCAAATATCTTATGTCTCGGATATACTAACACCTTGGGGACCTGGGCACTTCTATTTTTCTCTTTATGAGAAAGCTTTACATTGGTTCCCATATTGGCTGTAATAGTTTGCACTCCATCCCACAGTGAAGAAGTGATCCCCTTTCCTCAAATACTCACAAGAATTTCTTGTAGTTTGTATTCTTGACTTTGGAATTTCTGACTATTTTACAAGGAAATCTGAAGTAGTTTTACTTTGCATTTCACTGAGGGTGAAGGACATTGAACACTGTAGACTATATATTACTATTTGAGTTTAGTTCTATACCCTATTCTGTAATGGAGATGATTTCTTGGTCTTCAGTTTTTTGGTGTTTTATATATTCTAGACAATAACCCTCTGTCATAAGTAAAGCTGGTAAAGTTTTTTTTTTCGTTCTTTTTCTTTATTGTCATGATCATATTCTTTGCTCTTTAGTCTCATGAGGTCCAATTAGTCAATTGTGGTCTTAATGTCTGTGATACCAGAGTCCTTGTTCAGAAAGTATTCTCTTATGCATGCTAATTGAAATGTATTTTCTGGTTTTTCATCTATGGGATTCGGACTGTTAGGTTGTGTTAGTGAAATATTGTCCACATAACACAAACTAGGATTTTATGGGAGGAAGGAATATCAATTTGGGAATTGCCTTTATCAGATTAGCTCATTTGTCAATTTTTCAGGTTACTTCCTGGATTAATCCCATTCTTTTTCAAAAGTTTCTTTCTTTAGACTTAAGCTACATACCTTTACATAGATACAAGTATATATTATAGGTCAGATCTGCATATGAGAGGGGTAATATTATTTTTGCCTTTCTGAACTTATGTAGCTTCATTTAAATATATCTTTTCCATGTCCACTGAACTCTGATTGTGGAATATCTAGGTGGGTTAGCCTGGGGACTTGGTCATAGAGAAGAGACAGGTTAGCCATGGTCAAGAGCATTCACATATGATTACTGAACTGAGGAGTGCTCAGATGTTACTTAAAGGCTTTCTGTGAAAAATTTCAGTTCCTGTTTTTCAGGGGAAAAAACAAGTGTTTTAGCATGCCCAAACCATGATGAGAGTTGGACAATCTCCCTAAAATATTTCCATCAGCACTGCCATTTTGGAGGCCCTGTCTTGGAGCCCTAATATCTCTATTCCCTTATCGCAGCGCTAAAGTTGGATGGGACCTGGATTGTTTTAAATCCCCTTCAGACATTCAGAAGAACTTCTTTAAGTCCAATTTATTAAACAAGTTCAGACTTTTTCAAACAGGTTTTAAACTTGGAAGGTGAGAGTAAGAGGAAGAAGAGGAAGGAAAAGAAGAAGAAGAAGAAGGAGGAGGAGGAGGAGGAGAAGAGAAGAAGAAGATGATGATGAAGAAGAAGAAGCAGAGGAGGACGAGGAGGAAGAGGAACCTGGGGGGTAATACAGTTTATAAAAATATTCATAACTCAAAATAAACAGATGGGTTCCCTGAGATAAGAAAAATCATGTCCGATAAATTTGGGAAAAGTGTGAATCTTATACTAGTTCTAACCAGACAAAATTACAGGATAGCAGAAAGAGTTATTAGCTGAAGTACCACTGTCATATGATAGCATCTGGGAGTGGGAAACTAACTCCAGTTCAGGTCCCACTCCCACCAGTAAGTAGACAACCCAAACTTGACTCAATGTTAGAAAAAAAAAGAAGTAGAATGAAGAGGAAGAGAAACAGGAAGAGAAGATAGCATCTCAAATTTAGTTGAATTGGGAGTTAAGGACAGAGAACATGACCTGTGAAAAATTGAGATTAATATTATGTTCAAAGTATATTATCTTAAATTCTCAAGGAATTATTAAAAATAATTTTTGAGTTGAATTTGTAACTTCACCTGAGAGTAATACGTTTTTTTTTATTCTTTTGGGCTACTGCTTGTAATCATTTATAATAACTGCTAAAAGAAACCAATATACTTAAGGAACGTACTCAACTAATAGAAAGACACTGGAGATCAAGCCAAGGTCGTCAAGAATGCTAGACTTTCTTGTGAGTCATTACCTTCTTCTTTTAGTTTTTGCTTTTATTTAAAAATCCCACATTTTGAATTCAGGCAGACACCCCCTGCTCAAACACTGGCCACATATTCCATGAGACCAGTTAGGCCATTCACTCTCAGAACATCCCCAACTCCACCTTCCTTTTTTTAATTAACATAAAAATTTCCTTCACTACTGAAACAAAATGTCTTATCCTTCCCAAAATACCGTAAACTGAAATGAATGCATTAGTAAGCACAGATTTACTGCAACATGTCTTTGTCTCAGAGTAATGATAATGATCTTGTTATCAGCGAATGTCAGCTTTCACTAAATCAAGGCATCTGTAAGGTAAGCCTACATGTCACCACAGACAGAAAACATAAGTTCCAGGGGATGAGGGAGGTTCCCAAGTAATTTTGAGGAATAAGAAGATATTACAGAATTGTATTTGGAGACAATCTTACTTTTGGTCAATAAATGTTATTGTTGTGTGCTGTATATACTGAAGAATTTGGTGAAATTACTTTTGATGCTTTCATTGTGAAGGAGAGATAAGAATTCACACAGACAGATGTGTTTAACAGAATTACATGGTGTATACATACATCAAAACAAGTAGTTAAATGTAATATACAATCATGTGGTTTTATGTATGTGTGAATATTTACCATTGTTTTTGCCAAATAAATAGTGAAATTTGGTCAGAAAAAAAAATTTCCAGCTCCTCC